GTTGGTTAGAGACGCTGAGAGATATGGTCCAGAATAGAAGTCAGTCGCGCGAATGCTGTACGGTCTGTCCGTCGAAATTCTGTGCCCCGTAAAAAACAACAAAGAAAAAGTGTACGGTGAAACACACAAAAAATGTTATCCCAGCTACCTACCGTTTTCCTGCGTTTAACAGTCTTATCCTCTTTTCACTTTGTTCTGTATTCCAATCCACCTGCCGCCTATTATAGGTATTGTCATTATTGTTGTGGCGTTGGCAATATGCTTGTCTACGAACCGATGATATATATATATATATATATATGGAAGTATTGTACGGACATTAAACTTGTACTTATATGTCTATAANGTCTATAATTTCTTTGTGTAGCCGTTCACGCGTTACTCTTTTGACGTTTGTCTATTTGTTTGTTGCACCTTTTTCAGGGAGTCACCAAAGGTTCCATTCAATCATCTGTTCGATTGATGAAAGAACTTCGAGACATTTATCGATCCGAAAGCTACAAACAAGGTGAGGGTCCCTATTCACACAAACACCAGAATTCCAGCGGGGCGAAAAGTGGTCGTGTGAGGTTGTTAATTCAGTTATTATTCCATTTGCACTTCAGTGTATTGTTGGTCGATTTTTTTTGTTACAAATGTTGTTCCCACCCTGATTTGCTTCGCATACCGTCTGAACTCAGACAAATATAGAACTGGAATGTGACAGTAACAAGCGCACAATGACATAACAAACAGGACAGATGAGCAGTTATCAAGTGTATGCGTCTCATACATTAATAGACTAAAATGGTCACTGTTAGTTACAGTTCATACAATCCGTGTTTTAATTTTGCGGTTCATTATGTTTGTGCACCACACCCAATTATGCAGGATCCAGATCACCCATGTCGTTCACTCTTTGCCTTGTCGCCTAACACTCCCCTGAGGGGGCACTCATTCGAATTAGTGCTCCAAAAATGCCGACTAGAATGCCGGTATCATTCATTCGCCCTCAGAGTATGCGCTATATGGAATTCTCTGCCACCATACGTTGTTTCTGCGCTCACAACTGATTCCTTCAAGCACAAACTGGATCAAACTTTGACAAGTCTTGAATTCTAACATCCGTAGTAGTGCACGAAACAATGCTAAATTGTGACATTTGTCTACTTTCTGTGAACCGTGAATCGATTCATCTGTGCAAAACCTTATGGGACTAGAAAAGCAACCACTTATAAGTATTTCCCATAATAAAACTTTGACCACAAAGTCTCGATTTAATGGAAAACCGGAATCGAAAGCAATTTGATGCAGTAAGGCGGTTAAGCTGTAAGAATGACAGTCTCACTCTACTGTGCCATCGTTTCAAACTGAACGACCGTGAGGATCTGCATTGTTGAACCCAGTCCATCTCCATCAGAGTGGGTTTTGATCATTTTACGAACCGGAAATCCTTCTGTTTCACCGAGGAGCAATTTACGATCATGTGGAACAGACGCTTAACTGGTGAAGTCAGTCTACCAGTTGTTCCATTAAACGGGAACAGACAGCATGAAAATGGCGCTGATGCCCTCAAGCAAATAACCTATCCTCTACACACAGTGTTTTGCTTCACAGCACCAACACAATGCACTAGATTGCTGACTTAACGTGGTAGGGGCATGTGATTCGACGCTCTGCCTGAACCACTGTCGCCTGGTGATAATCAGCTATTGGGTCTGCAAAGCTCAAATTGTGTACCGTATTGATATTGACATCAAACCGAACTTTCGAAACGCGGCCATTGCATGTGTGTGTGTGTGCTAAGTCAGATTAAGCTGATCGCAGCATTCTCTATGCTTTCACTCACCGCATTCTGTCTTGATCGAGTTTGATAATAAATTTATAATCTCACAGATCCTGGTTTCATCAGATTATTTTCCAACTGATTGCAAGCATTATATCATGAGAAAAAGAATGTATTTGCCGGATGATGGACTGAATGGAAAGTTAAATCAACATGTCTGGGTATCATTCAAAGTTGTGTCCCATTGACCTCGGTCAGGTCCATGGGCTCTTCAAGCCTCAGATCGATATCTGGATGGTCACTATTCAACACGGATTTCTTAACCTCTTACTGAAGTATGGACCTTCGCAGTGTTGTGAACTGCCTCAAGTTCACGTGTTCCAAATCCTGTGTCATATCTCGGCCGTTTACTTTGCGCGTACTCTTACGCGTTGATGTGTCTGTGTCCCCACCGCCTGAACAACCAGATTCCGCTAACACCGTCAGGTCATACTCGACCGATACTTCCTTCTCTTTGTTATCCAAATTCACATCCAGTTAGTTTGCTGCTTCCAGATTATGTATATCTCATTGCGACTATAGAACCATGAACACAAATTCCATTCTTG